GTGCTATCTGGAAGGATGAGTCCCCGAAGGACATCATATTTGGTAAAGTGGAGGACGGGCAAGAAGAGGAAGACTCCCCACCAAGATGAGCTGACACAGCGCAGTAACAAAGACCCCAACATAACAATTGTGAAGATGGCCGAGGTCCGGGCAGCGTTTGCTTCTGTAGTCCTGAAAGCTGTCCACCGTGAAGACCCACCAACATGGGTAGTGCCTGACACACCAGTGGTATAGCTTCGAGCTTCACAGCAACATGCAAGCCACCAGGATACAACCAACTGACAGATGTTACTTGTGGTGTGCTGTGGAGTCGGTTCTGACTCATCGCCACCCTGCAGAGGGTTTCCAAAGCTGTAAATCTTTATAAGAAGCCTCATGTTTCTCCTGCAGAATGGATGATAGCTTCCAACTGTTGATCATGTTAGCCACCCAACTCACACCCACATACCGGAGCTCCTTACCTAACTTGGGTCGTTACCAAGAAAAGGTGTCACTCAAATGTTTTAGCTGTCTGTTGAGATGGACTTGTTGGCATTTGTCCTTTCTTCCATTGGTATGGTGTAGGTGATTGAAAGTACCATGGCTTGTGGCAGGAGCATGTTAGTCCTCAAACTGACATCTTTGCTCTTAAAGGTCTGAGGAGCAGATTTGCCTAATGCAATGTATCATTTGAGTTTTTGACTGCTGCTTCCATGAGTATTTTTGGTGAATCCAAGGAAAATGAAGTCTTTGACAACTTCAATGTTTTCTCCATTTATCTTGTTATTTATTGGTCCAGTGCTAAGGACTTTTTTTTCTTTACTTGAGGTGCAGCCCATACTGAAGGCTGTGGTCTTTGATCTTCACCAGTATTTCAAATCCTCTTCACTTTCAACAAGGGTGATTATACTGTAGTCTGGAAACATGGGGTGTTACGGATTGTATTGTGGCCCCCTCAAAAAACACAAGTTGTAATCCTAACCCTTGTACATGTGGATGTGCCCATTTGGAAATAAGGCTTTGGTGTACCTAGATTAATACAGTGTGCTAGTACGGCATGGATCCTAACCGTAATCGCTTGAATTAGGCTCCATGTGGCCCATTCCTGGACCCCAAGGACCACACAGGCTACCAAGACTGGAATTGACCCATTGGGACCAACTTGAACTTCCGGCCTCCGGAACTGTGAGAAAAGAATTTCTTGTTCTTTAAAGGCCCCCTCTTGTGCTATTTCTGTTAGGACAGACCTTTGTCGATTAGGTTAAGTGGTTTTCTTTGGATGTTTTTACTGGTCTTGGTGTGGCGCTGTGGGTTAATGCACCAGACTGCAGTCGTTTGAATCGCCAGGTTGGCGGTTCAAGCTCACCAGTGGCTCCTCGGAAACCCTATACAGGGTTGCTAGGGGTCGAAATCGGGGCTTGCCTTGGCTGATCACACTCCTCAGATGGAGGATGGCTGTGTTTTTCTAATTCATCGATTTTTATGTTGAATGAGACACACCGTATTCGCCAACATACACAGATTTCATACAATTTTATTCATCCACTAACAAAATCATACAAAGACAAGGAACCTATAAAAGAAAGCGTGTACCCAACCTTGAGCGGCTGAGGTCACTGGTGGGTTTACCACTTGGAGAGGGTCCCAGTGGTTGCAGGTTCCAAGACCTGCCAAGCAGTGCAGAGCCATGTGTAAGACAGCTAATCAATCTCATGTGAACAGTGCTAACGCCCCCCCCCCGAGGGTCTGAGGCCCGGCCCAGGCGCTGCTTTCCTCACCCCTGCCCCCTGACGTGCCCGCAGTGCGGCCCAGCCTGACGCACAGGAAGCGCAGGCGGCACAGGAAGCGCAGGAGCGTTTGAACCCCTAGGCAGCCCCTGCCACGACAGCTCTCTGCGGGGGTTGAAATAAATAAATAAGCCACACAGAAAGGGGGAGGGCAGGGTCCACTCTGCGGCGGGACGGTGGCCGGCGAGATGCACACTGCATCCCACCGGAGTCCCAGGCTGCACGTGGGGTGGGATGGCTGCCGCCCACTGTGTCCCTGTGCAGATACCCCATGAACCCCGGGTGGCCTCGCTGGTTTCCAGCAGAAAAGCGCCCCCCCCGCGCCCCGGGCAGGGAGCCCCTAGGAGTGCTGCTCCTGAGCGCAGGGGACGTCCTTCCGTGGTGGACAGCACGCTGTCATCGTGGACAGAAGTCAGGGGCGTCCAGACGACCTGTCCAGAGTGCTGGAGAAGGCACCCTGAGCACACAGCCAGCCCGAGGGCTTTCAGGTCAGAGGACCTTGGGAAGCCACCCCACCCCACCCCACCCCCGACGTGGAGCGCAGAGCACAGGAAGCGCTTTGACAGAAGCCGCGTGGAGGTGGGAGGTCACTGGCCTTGTCCCGCGGGCCCACGCATTACGAGTAGATGGTGATGACCTCCCGGCCGCCGCCGCGGACCAGAAGGACCCGGTTCAGGCCCTCGGTGAGGACCTCCAGGAACTCCATGTCTGTAGAGAGTTAAGGCCAGCGGACACTCACAGGACATGGGGGGTCTGGGGGCAGTGGGGGAGGGCACTCAACCTTGTGCTCTAAAATCCAACACCCTTCCCCAAACCCCGAGCAGGCGCCTCCCTGGAAGGATACAGTTCTCATCCCCCTGCCGGTTCTTGGGGGGCCCTGGCATGTTCAGCAGCACCAGCTGGGCATCCTGGGACTTATTGAGGACGACACCATTCAGCTTCACAGCCGTGTGCATCCGCCTAACGTTGGACTGGTTCCTGGGGGTTGGGGGGAGAAAGGGACGTGTCACCCGGGTCCCGTGCTCACTCTGATAAACACAGCCAGTATCTCCGTTGCAACGACACCACAGACACACATTCAGGGCACCCATGTCCTGATCTCTGTGTTTGCTCTAACCACCCTGCATGTCATCCAGAGCCAGAGCGGCCCCGAAGGGCTGCACCCATCACTGTCTGACCCAGCCCAGGGTGCTCAGCACCTGGAATCACTATGACCACACTGTGGGTCATGTCCATCCAGACCTGCACCTGAGCAGCCAGACACATTGTCACCCACCACCGTCAGGTCACTGGTGCTGTGGACAAGAGGGTGAGGAACAGGCAGATGAGCCCCACTCTTAAACCAGATAAATCCAATGAGTGCCCCCGGTTTGTCTGAGAGGACGGCAGGTTGGGGCCTGGGTCCCTGCGGCTGTGGGAACCGGGCACAGGGCCTAGCTGAGACAAGCAGGCCAAATCCTAGTTCTATCAAAGTGTGCGAGGCAGGCTGGGGGCTCAGAGGAAGACTCATTTATCTGTCGGACCAGAGGGCCACTCGGCTCTGGGCAGCACCCCAGAGCACAGGCGGCAGTGGGGCAGGGCAGGGGGGAGCCAGGCAGAGGGATACCCCCCAGGACGTTCCTTCGTCCCTGTTCAGACCCAACACCGTGATCCGACTGACCACATGACCCCTGCATAGGGCGCTCAGACACAAGGCATCCCACCTGACCACAGGAATCCTTGCCTCTCCCTGTCCCTCATCCCCCCGGGCCTGAGGAAGCCCAGTACCCACAGGCCCCGCTTACGTGGGTACAGCACCATCAGTCCCCAGGTCCCAAGTGATCAGGGGTTGCACCACCCAAGACCCAAACATTTGTGTTCTACGGGGTGTGACAGATGGCAGCAGGCTCGCACGGAAGCACAGAGCCCCCACCAGGCTGGCACGCCTGGCCCCAGTCCCGAAACTTAATTCGAGGATGGATTCCAGAGTGTTCCGTGCACACTGGCGGGGGCCACAGAACAGCAACATGGCAGAACAGCGGCGGGCGTTCCGCCAGCGCGCAGACACGCAAACACGAGCACACAGTCACAGCAAGCATGCGGGAACAGGCGGGAGACGAGACGGAAGACAGGTGTGCAAGAGAGCCAGTGACTTACAGGTTTCCCCATTCACTCCGCGGAGGGAAGAAGAACAGAGACAGTTACTCAGGAGCACACCAGCCCCATCGCCCCTCTCAGCCCACCCTGCCCTGTGAGCCGGCTGCTGGGCTCTCCCCTCCTCTCGGCCCACCCTGTACTGTGACCTGGCTGCTGGGCACTCCCCTCCTCTCCGCCCACCCTGTACCGTGACCTGGCTGCTGGGCCCTCCACTCCTCTCCGCCTGTCCAGCACCCTGCCCTTTGCCCCTGCTG